GGGTCGGCGCGGTGTCGGTGGTCGGGGTCCGGTCGTCGGTGAGGCCAGACCGAGAGCGAGGCCAAGATCGAGACGAGGCGGAACGGCGCGGGCGCAGCGCGGAGCAGAGCGGCGCGACGTTCCATCGGTGGTCCTTCTCTTTTCCTCCGTCGCTCCCCTCCCTCTTGGCTTTTGTCTCTTTCTCTCGCACTCTGTTGCCGTGCACCGTCGCGAACCTCGGTGTCGCTTCTCCCCACTATGAAAGACCACGACCGACCGTTGAGATTTAAATTCCTCTTTGGGCGGTGGACGAAGAAGAGTGCTCGGTCCGAGGACTTTCCTGCGCAGGAGGACCGGAAAATCGCCGCGTCGACACGCGGGTCCGACCCTCTCGCGGCCTTTCCCGCGAAAATTTGACCATCGGTTCGATTCGCGAATCGATCCGTCCGTTTCTGCGCATGCATTTGCGACGAGGGGCGGAGGTGGCGACGGTGGCGATGCTGGCAAGGGTGGGAGACGAGAACGAGAGGAGCAAAGAGTTCGTTAACGGTCGAAAATCGAACGAAACGAAGCGGAATTCTTTTCGCCGGAACCGGCCGTACTCGTTTCGCGAGAAGAAAGCGATCATGATCGACGATTACCGTCATCGATCCACTTTCGACCTTTTAGCTACCGCTTTTCCCGCCTTTTTTCTTGTTCGTTCGACTCGGTCCGTTGCTGCGTCGCATCCACCGAACGAGCCAGTAGACAAGACGATGCTCGTCTTCCTCTTTTTTTCTCGCCGACACTCTAGTAGCCGTCTCGATTTTCGTACACCGCAAAAATGGCTGGTCCCTGCAGAAGCTACGAGAGGGAACGAGTTGGCCGATCGATCGACCGCGTTAGACGTCGACTCTGCGTAGGAAACGTTACACGCCCCCATATAACGCTTTCGATCTGCCCCATGTGGGCACCGTGCACCGTACACCGTATTCGTATTGTCTAACGTTTGCTCCTATAACGATACGCTATACGGGTGCAGCTGTTGCACAGAGCTTACACGCGAATAACTGGACGTATCGTGCTCCGGATAAACTGGACACGAATTGCTCGTGTTTACACGATCGTACTCCTAGTATCGCCCTAATATCTGTCCTAGTATCATCGTTTCTGGAGATCCACATTATTTTTCTGTCTACGAACTCTATTTTTCGCGCGACGTCCCCTCTTCGTCTGATGGTCGCGCGACGGTTACGCGTTGACGAGATACGCGATAACGCGAATGAATCCGAACGAGCGAAGAAGAGAGGCGATCGAGGGAGACAGAGAGAGGGAGACGGAACGATAAGAGAAACGGTCGAACGAGAGAAAGAAGGAAAAAGGAAGATATCGTGGCTATATTTCGGTTGCGCTCGAACGTCGATAAGAGGAGTCGGTCGGCTCCCAAGGTCTACGCGAGTTTACGATTGCCGTACTTGCCGTTCTACCGCCGTTCCCAGAACCCAGTTAATCGTTTACAGAGCTAACCAAAGAAATCTAACCCACATCGTGACTTCGATTCCGTTTCGTTTTATAAGCGTACCTAGGTCCTCGCGTAAAAGCACGTATTGTTTCGCGCTAGAAACAATGGTCAAGTTCGAAGAAACTAACCCGTACGTAGGTATACGCCGATCGATCCGAAAACGTCGATTCCTTTGCCAACAATTAGCTTTATTCTGCTCGGGAATTACGGCGAAACGGGAGCGAACACGTTCGTCGCCTTTAGAAACAATTTATAGCGTACTTACTTCGCGTCCCTATAGCGATCATTGTTCGGCGACCTACGGTAATGACACCGTTTAGACCCATTCGGAAAAAACGCCGCTCGATTAAACCATCGAAACGACAATCGTAAAACTCCGCGGTGGGACGCTTAAAGCGGACGGATAATTGCTTTCGAACAATAACGGTCGCTTCGACCGAAGCTACGTTTATGGAATTTGTTCTGTTTAGCAGGTGGGCGGCGTCTAATACCGGGAGGTCTACCGGGGTTTTCCCTTTGTAAATTCGCACGAAAATCTGTTGGAATACCTGTTTCCATTGTACGCGCGCCGCTGAATCGGAGCGACTCGACACGACACGAAAGATCACAGAATACCCGAGAATTCCAAGCGTTGCGATTGAAATTCTTTTCTTTTCCTCTACTTGTAACATCGGATGATGGTTCACGCCTTTATAGATGACCGACATTTTATCATCGACACGAATATTAACTCGAGGTATCACCGACTGGGAAAAATTTGATGGAGTACAACCGCTTTCGTTTAAAATGAACCCGTTCCCATCCTCTTTCCAGTTCTCTTACCTCCGCGAAAGCCTCCCACGGTCATCGAGGTCCCTCTCTTTCCAGAATGATTACTTCTTCCGACTTGGCTTCGTTTTCGTCTCTCCGTCCGGAAGAGGGGACTTTTGATACTCGTTAGGGGTTCGAGCAATTTTTATCCTCCTTCTGCTCGTCGTCTTCTTCTCCACGCTTTTTTTCCCCTCTCTCGTTCGCCCTTTCTTTCGCCCGTTTCCCATCGTATTGCGAATTTCGATCTCCCGTATGGTGCATCTGCGGTGTATGGCGGCTGCGCGTATCGGAAAGAATAGCGAGGAACGAGTAGGGCTGTCTCTTACGCCCTTCGAGATCCCGAAGGAACAGACGATGATCCCGTTTAGGAAGCTGCAAAGCCGTCTTGCTCTCTACCAGACTTTACGGTTACGAGGTCATCGTTGACAGTGGTTGTCCTACGACTCGTTCGCGAATCCCACCGACTAACTTATCCAATATCGAACACGTACATACATTGATCGATAAAAGTTTTCGACCGGTTCGAAACGGGAAAACGTCGAGGCGTTATCGCGTCCCGACGGAACGTTATCTCAAAAGGTAGCTTAATAGTCGTATTGGTAAATTGAATGTTTACGCTGACGGATCCGGCGTTTGAGAACCCTCGATCAAGTATTACGTAAATGGCTCCCCCGGGTTTCTTTTCGCTCCCGTGTCGTCGATGGGAGACACCGCGCCGCGACGCCCATACGCCTATATGTCTATACGTCTATAGGCGTACGCTCGCATACATACACGCATATCGAACGTTTCTCGATTCGAAGTTTGGCCGCCTGTGTGAGCGCACACAAGCTGCTTCGAACACTGTCTCTCGACGTATAGGCAGGCATATATGCACTTAGCGGTGCACCATCGGGGTACCCATAGTTGGCACGTGCCAACCATCACAATGGATACGACCATCTGCACTCGTTCTTATAGAAAAATCAAAGTCGTAGGGTGCCGGGCATTTGCCCGATTTCGAGTTCCCTTCCAGTCCGTTATACGTACGAAGCGTGAACTCGCTACTCGCGTTGCGAACGGTTGCTCTCGCGATAACGAGTTTACGCCGTTTACCGAATTTCTCCTTGGTTTTATACCATTCGTACAAAACCGATACGCATTCGAGCCCGTTTCGGTCCACCTGTGCACCGGAACGTGACCGGGTAACGGATAAACAGGTAAACAGGTAAATGGAATAAAACCGAGTACGAAAAAGCGGACAGAAGGACGATAGCGAACTGGACGGACACGTAAGTTCAAATCGGGCAACGATCTTTCGTCGATGAGAAGAAGCGGTGGGAAGGTGGTGCAACGCGTCGCGACGATGAAGGTGCCTGATTTGGCAGCTGCGAACGAGGGGTCTCCGATACACCCCGGTATATGGCAGAAAGCAGCTGACCTACCCCCATGGTATCGCGCGTTGCACGCGTTCGATGCCCTATAGCGAAAATCTTTGCCAGTAGTCACGATTACTGGGAACGACCCGGTGCGTGCCTTCCCGCCCGACTCCCTCGAACGTTCGCCCTTCTCGAAACCGACCCCCTGCGCTCGATCACTCTTTTTCTCTCGCTCCCCCGCTTTTCATCCCTCTCCTCTTTCGACCCGTCTCTCTCTAGTCAAGAAGCTGATTTCGAGTCGAAGACAACGCAGACTTGTCTCTCGGTTTCTTCGTAAACTGTTGATCGAACATTACACATGTACTATTCTTTCCCTCAGCCAAGTAGATATCGTTACCCTCGTAATGCAAAAGTACGTCCTTCGATTTTAACACTAGATTTATGGAACCCGTCAAAATGACGGATAATAGGTCTATTTTGGATGACAGAATTTCTTAAGAAATTTTTGTAAAAATGTCAACTTTCAGCAAAAGAATCAATGTTTTAGGCAGTTCACATATCATCTGCAATTTATTTATTTTTCTACTTTAGGTAAATTTAAATAAAAGTGACTATCAAACGTCCGTAAATCTAGTGTTAATACTTGTCCCCATGGAAAGTTTCCTTGATCTTTCTTTCCCTCAGCCTAATAGATATCGTTACCCTCGTAATGCAAAAGTACGTCCTTCGATTTTAATACTTGTCCCCATAGAAAGTTTCTTTGATCTTTCTTCTAACATTCACGAAAATTTTTCCCGCCATATTGACCGTTCGACATTTATGTTTTAACCCGTTGCCGCACACTTTTCATTTGACGATCGCGCTCAGAAACGCACTTTTTTTTTCAATTATTTATGACTGCCAGTACACGACGGCTATAACCGCCGTTTGCCTACATATCACCAAAGATCGGACGGCTATAGCCGTCATTTGCGGCTAGGTGTTAATTGAATCGATGATAACGTAATCATCTAAATAACATAATAATCATAATCGCTAGCAACGAACAGTTTCGAATCGTTGTATCAAATTCCGCAAATTTCGAACGACGGGAAACCTCCGGGCTTGCGCTATCGAGTTTTACGAACGAGTACCTGCCGTGTGAAAATCTTGGAAGAATGCGAGGGTGGTATCGAAGATCAGGTGAAGCATTGTGATCGGTAGAATGAAAAAACGGATCGAGTCGTACCTGCTGAGAGCTGCATCCTTCGGAACAGTCGGTGCATCAACCGAAGGGACAAGGAGTCCCGTGAAAACGAAAGAGACGGAAGCTGGCCCTTTCGGAGTTCGGAGCAACTCCTACGGTCGGCAACCTTTTTCCGCTCTGGTATCGAAGCGAGCTAGTCAGTGAATGACCGAGTATATCCGTACGCGAGGGACGGAGAAAGAAACGAGAGAGACGGAAATGGAGAGACCGACAATGAGACGGAGACGGCTCGGGAAGAGAAGGGAAAAGAAGGGAAGAGGAGAAAAGAGAAGGAAAGAGAGCAAAGAAACACGATTCATCGTTTTTCGAAATATCTGTTAACTGTTGTCGATCGCTGGACAGCATTTAACGGTTTAAAAGTCGAACTGGAATGAAGCGCATGTATTTTTATGAATTCTTCGACATGAATCGATCGATGATAACGCGATTGATTTTTTTTGACGTAGAAGAAATATCGGAAAAACTGCGAATAATTGTCGCGTGTTTACTTTTGTGTTCGTTCCTTTTCGTTAGAACCGAAAAGGACGAGAGAACAAACGGGCGAACGCAATGAACACACGAATAAACGGACGTAAACGAAAGACGTGGCGGCAAAGAGGCAGAAAAGGGCCCCCCATAGCGGTTGCCCTAAAGAGAGGATTCCGCGTTCCGTTCTCCTAGCTTGCCCTGAGAAGATTTAGGCGGGCCCTTTCCCACCTCCCGATTGGTCGAACCTAACCCCCACCACCGCGGACCGTAGCGTATAAAGGTCGATCTTCCCGCCACGTCGAACAGTTTCTACGACTTTTGTGAACTGGAAGGACGTCGGTTTTCTTCGCTGCATGCTCGAACTCGTGGCGAAGTGTCGCCCGATCGAGATCGTTTATTCGCGATCACGTGTCGGTCCATCGCTGCTCAGTCTTCCACGATAATACAAAATTTTGCATATCTGTGCCAGTGTCTATTTCTGTGAGCTTGTTTTGTTTCGTGTAACAAGTTCGTTTACGGTGTCGTTGACATGTTTTGGGAAAATGTTGCGGATTCTTGCGAAGTGTGCCAATGTACAAGGTACTTACCACGGACTTCTACTTCGTCTTTTACCATTAGGGTCACACGAGTGTTAATGTTGACTTTTCGCGCGTATTTCATACAATGTGTGTCAAATATCAACTTGAATGTCCACAGCAATCATCCTAATTCTCGTGTGACCCTAACCTGAGAATAAAGTCGTTAGTTTTTTCAAATCGTCGAACTATGTTGATCGTGTTGCATTATAGTTTTCCGAAACTTTATTTACGTCGTCAAATCAATAGTACATTTTGTTTTCTTAGTTAGGGAAGGTCAAAATATTTGTTGACAAGATCAGCTTATTTAGATTCGATTCGACCGATTCGGAAATAGATGTAACTTTGCGAATATTGTGTTTGCAATCTTTGTACATTTCGTGTAGAATCACGCGGATACTAGACGGTGCGCATGCGCGGAAATTGGCGGGATCGCGTTGCCCATGTGGTGAACGAAGACGTATGCTCGGGTTCGTTTTGTTATCGTGGATTCATAGTGGTGAAGTTTGGAAAATTAATGCAAACAATCGAGTTAATTAACCAAATAATATAGATTTTCTTAATGGTTCGTGACGCGACGTCGATGTCAACGTTTATCGAAGAAACTCTCGAGAAACCGGTTCAATTTTTGCGATTTAAAATTTTTTCGAGAAAGTGTTACATACTAATCTAATTATGCGACCAAGGAAAATAACTATTCGTGTTGGTTAACTGTAATAATGGGTGTATCAGTGTTTCTAATCCCGCGTGTTTATCAGGCGTGACATTTTTTGAGGTTAGGTCTTGCTCTCTCAACTGCGCGCGCATTTCTTCAGCACGTTCGGTCGTATTAACTTTGTCCGTTGTTTGGTTTACAGGCTCTTCAAAAATGCATTCAAGATTAAAAATACCCCCGAGAACACGGTGAAGTCGAAGCCAAGAGGGCGTCGATATCCCGGCATGGCTTCACGCCGCGTTCTCGGCTCGGAGCCTGCCTCGCCATCTACCGACAAAGAGAACGATGGTCCTGGCGATGTCACCAGCCCACAAAAGGTATGTTATCGGTCTTCATCAATTTCATCGCTTTACCAACGCGTTTACAGTGTTCGAAAAAAAAGTCATCTCTATTTTTTTTTTAATTCAATAACGACATAAACATATTTTCGTGCAATAATACTAGAAACGGAAAAACGTGCACCTGCCCTCCCTCCAAGTTTTAGCTGCCTTTTCTCGACTTTTCAATAAGGATGAAAGATAAGAACCCACCCCGTAACGATCTTTTTGACAAGTCTACGAGTTTTCCTAATCGATCGTTTCCCTCGAGATACACGCATTCGTATCTGATCGACGGAAAGATAGAATATTCGACAAAAGAAAGAACCAAAATTATTCACGATGCTTTATTTGTGTTTAGCCGATCGGTGCAAAGAGGACTCGTTATCCGTTGGAGGACTGCGACCCGAACAGCCAGGACAGCGGATGCGAGGCGAGTTATCCGGAAAAGGAAGAAAAGCCACGGCAGACGTTTCGATTCGTGGAACCGTTAGCCGTTGCACCTCGACGTATGTCGATCGAATTCCGCAGTCCCATGAAATCGCCGATGAGATGTTCACCACAGAGATCGCGCGTTGCGAGGTCGTCTCTGTTCCGGAGTCTTTCTTCTGGCTACGAGAGCATGGACGACGGATTCAACGATTTGATCGACATCGAATCTCTGGACGACACCACTCAACTACCCAACGGTATTTCGACTCTTCTTTGCGGCGATATCGTCGGCTCAATTGGTACCGGTACGACGAACACTTTGCCGCTCGATCAAGAGTTCAGCATCGGATCGAGCAATCCGACCACTCCGGAATTCGCTCGCACCGATCGCACCAATAATTTCCGAAGATCGTTGTCGTTGCAGAACGAGAAACCGGAATCTCGTAAAAAGTCGTCCCTTTCCAAAGTACGCTCCTGCTTGTTCCGATCGCCGAACGCTAGTTCGTCCACCGTCAATCCGGGTTTCGATGACGAACGGTCAACTCCGAACGCGCTGTCAGTGTCGAAGATTCGTCGACGAAGACTCGGCATCGATCGCGATGTCACCGATTATCAGGAACGCGAGAACGCGTTCGTATCTCCGTTGTCGGTAAAAGCGTTCAAACGACCTGATCCACCGATCGACGAGAGTCCGAAACTAGTCAAAAGATCGCGGAAATCGAGCTTCCTTGATATCGCGAAAAACATGGACGTCGAGGAAACCGCGGCGTCCGTTCCGAGGCCAGTATTATACAAAAGAAGTCTTTCCGCGATAACGATGACGACCACTGCGACCGAAATGGGGATGGAAGTAGAGATGGAGACGGGGATGGATATCGTCGAAGTCAAAACGGAAGTCGAGTCGGACACGCACGCTCACATTAAGTCGGCTATCCATCGTAGCACCACCGATACCGATCTTACGGGCGACTTCAGCAAACCGTGCGTTCTACCTTTGGCCATCGGGCATCACGAGGACTTGAAATCGATTTCTGTAGATACGTTAGCCGGACTTATACGCGGAGAGTTTAACGATCGAATCGGTTCGTTCCAAATTGTAGACTGTCGATATCCGTACGAGTTCGATGCCGGTCACATTCAGGGCGCCGTCAATTTGTATAGCAAAGATTTGATCGAGCGAATTCTATTAGATCCTCTGACAAATACGCCGAAAATTCAGCCCGATTCGAACAAGAGAAACATTTTGGTATTTCACTGCGAATTCTCGTGGGAGCGTGGACCGAACCTTTCGCGATTTCTACGCAATCTGGATAGGCAAAAGAATAAGGAACATTATCCCGCGTTGCATTATCCGGAAGTTTACCTGTTACACGGCGGATACGAGAAGTTTTATAGGGAACAGAAAATATTGTGTACTCCGCAAGGTTATCGACCGATGAGACACCCCGATCACGAGGCCGATCTCCGACAATTTCGCAATAAGAGCAAAAGCTGGCAGGGCGAGAGATCGAGAATCAACGGTTCCGTCACGCGAGCTAATCTCAAACGTTTAGGTTTCTAAACCTCTTCGTTCCTTTCGTTCGTTGTATTCTTTCTATTCTCTTTCCGGTCTCGATCTCTCGTTGCTAAACGATCAGAGAGGAAGGGAAGTTTTTAGGCCGAATATACGTTCGTGAAAAAAGTGCAAACCGCGCGAGAAATCGCGCGATCATTTCCGTGTACCTTGTCTGTAAATAGTAGCTTAATTCGCTCGAGTACTAATCCGTAAGTCATTTGACGGATCGCGATAGCAATAAGAGAAAAGCATTCGCTTTCGATGACGAACGACGACGACCATCACGCGACGTTGTCTTGAACGTTAGTTTCTATGCTAAGGTTGTTCGACGAATTATGCCAACGCCGTAATTAGAGGTTCATCGTCTTCGCAAACGTCGTAATAGCCGATAAGGCGTAGCAGTGAATTACGTTCTCGGGCAGGCTTCCCATCGTGCGTTCGGCATCGTCGAGAACTTTTTCTTTCTCTTTCCAGATTTTTCGCGAAATCTTGAAGGTCGCAATTTTCTCGGCGCGACCCGCTGTGCTATTTCGTATCGCCAAAGTTTAACGCGCTTCTATGCTCGCGTGCTTGTACAAAATTTCTATACACGTGTACGTAAACGGTGCGCGGTAAATGATCGAATAACGCGAGGAAACATTTATAAACGTTAATGCGTTTCTGAAAGTGCAAATTTCGCGTGATCTATGTGTATATATATGTGTGCGTGTGACGTGTGCCTGTTTGTACGCGTGAATGAGATGAAAAGTATAACGATGTATCTACGTACACACGTATGTATACATATGATATATGATACGAAATGTTTATATATCACCCGTATCTTTAATTCGTAATAAATCGTTCCATGCAATAAAAGAAGCTTTTTCTCTTTGTACCATCCTATTTGTTCGTAAACGAGTTGTACGACGAAGTACGTGCAACGTGTACGCGTTGCTCCGCAATTGTCGCTAGGTGGCGAACGCGAGCAATTTCCACTGCATTCGGCCGTGATCGCTGATTGGTCGTCATGCATGTGTGCGCATATATGTATACCGGCACACATATTGGTTCACGAGATATTCGCAAGCCGAACGTCCAACAATAAAGGTTGCAGAGGAGTCAAAGGTGGAATTTCGGTTCGTAAGAGTACTTAGTGAGAGGTTCGAAAGTATCTCGTGGTGATTAGGAATCGATTCGTTGGGTCATGACACTGCTTTTCTTAAACGCAAGTAATACCTATTAAATCAGTGAAAACATGTAGACTTTTCTTCCGTTACTGTACCGCGGTCGACGTATCGTTTAAAGTTTATTCTTTTATTTTCGAATCCCATTTCTTTTGTTTCTGCTGTTATTCAAAGCAGCGTAGCGACCGTTTATCGACAGTTACATAAATCAAAGTTGGCCTTCAAGTAGAATCAGATTAATTGTTCGAAGTGGTTCTAGATAACCTTGCTCGAGTTTTAGCCGGCTGTAGAAGAGGTTAGTTTACATCGGCTAATTAAAACCGTGTTTTCAGCTGCTTCGATCGGAAGACAACCGTTGCTGAAAATTGGCAGTCGTCTGTTGTCCGGCATGGCTTCAGCGTTGAAAACTCACGGCGTCGTGCCCGACGTTATTGACGAGGTTCCGCCGTCCGTACTAAAGGTCTCCTATCCGAGTAACGTCACCGTCGATTTGGGCAATGTATTAACCCCAACAAAAGTTAAAGACCCACCGACCGTTACATGGGACGCGGATGCAAATGCTTTATACACTCTCTGCATGACCGGTACGTAATCGCTTGCTCCAGAGTTTATCGCGATAAGTTCGGTCTTCAGATACCGCTTGTTTCGCAGATCCCGATGCGCCCAGTCGAAAGGAGCCAAAGTTCCGCGAATGGCATCACTGGCTGGTGGGAAACATTCCCGGTTCAGACGTCTCCAAGGGAGAAGTGCTGTCCGACTACATCGGTTCTGGCCCGCCACAAGGCACCGGATTGCATCGCTACGTGTTTCTGTTGTACAAGCAGCCTTCAAAGTTGACATTCGACGAACCTCGCCTGACGAACCGCAGCGGCGATAAGCGAGGAAATTTCTCCATAAGAAAATTCGCCAAGAAATACAATCTTGGTCAACCCATCGCGGGGAACTTGTATCAAGCAGAATTCGACGACTACGTTCCGATTCTTTACAAACAATTGGGCGCTTAAAATGCGTCTGCATGTAATAAGCATAGAACTTGTAACCTCGTACTAAAACTTTATATTAAATTTTGCACTAAGTACTCTGACGTTCAGGCTTTTCTTTCCTTCGAGTCATCATTATTGAACGCAGGGTAACGTTTACTTTTACGTAAGTCGTATTGCATTGTCATCCCTGAGTGTCGACGCTTTTCTCTTTGTTGTATGCTGACAGACGCGCTAGGCTTCCGTTTGCGTGTAAACGTTTAACCTTCAATGAATGCTTTGACAAACGTTATCCTTTAACCATTGTAATCATTACCTTACTCGGAAAGTGTGTAATCGAATACGAAAATGTCTTGCGCTAAGTATAATGCCATGGGAAATGACATTATTTTTGTTAGGGAAACTCACCTTGTTAGCTAAATAACTACATAGAGAAAATGAGGTGAACCAGAAGGATACTTGGAGCGAAATCGTAGGAACGATTCGGAATTTGCGGGAAAGTTGTCGTGTACGATATCAAAGAGTAGCCGAGCAAGGCGCGTTAATTTTGTACGAGTATGGACGTATGATCGGTTATTTCTTGTAGGCGAATTTCCTCGAGAAGGAAGGAATAGCGAGCGAATCACTGAAGAGAGTCGCGAACGTTCGAGCGATGGCCGCGAAGAAAAAGTGGAACGCGAAGTTGAATCCTTGACGAGTTACGGGTCGAGTGGGGACAGTCGGTCGAATAAAACGTCCCTCTCGAGCTGTTCGGATTGAAGTCGATGCTGAGCAACGGACACGTTTTTACACTAACGATGAAGTACTCCGTGTTAATAGGTTCGTTGTGTGATATTCGGACGCCGATTCGAAGGTTCCGCGTTCTAACTTGTTAATTTCGCGACAAATTGCAGGGATCCTCACCTATGGCGTCTTGGCCGTGGTCGCGGATACTCGATCGGAATTCGAAGCAGCGAAGATCGTGCCGGACGTTGTAGACGTGGCGCCTACCGACAAGATCGAGGTGCGAGCATTTAAAAGAAATTACCGAATTAAGGAGAGTTGCACGATACGCGTTGACCGCATTAGGCTATGATTACAGTGGACCTTTTCTCACGAATAGTCGCTCTCGTAGGAATGCATTTACTACGTATCGGAATTCTATTTCGTCAGAAAACGGTCCCGCTTTAACCACTGCCTAAAGAATAATGTTTACGAGTTAGGTAAAGTATGGGGAGAAGGCGATCGAGTTTGGTACCGAGCTGACACCGATGGAGACGCAAAAGGCTCCAGAAATCCACTACAAGAACGAAGGGGGTGTACTTTACACGTTGATAATGACTGGTAAGTTTTTTAATGCATAAATTTCAGCCGTAACTTTCGATTCCGTCTCGAGTGCAAGTTGGTCGTTCGCGAGAAAAAGAGAAAAAGAACGTGACCTTACGTTATTTTATCCTCCTCGAGTTATCTACACTTTCACCGAGTCGATCGTAGAAAACCCGTTTTCTCGGCTTACGTGGCCGTGTTCGCGACGAGTCGATTATACACAGTGAACATTTTATCAGCATAATTATATAGCAGGGGTGGCCAAGGCAGTATCTCTGCATATACCAGGGGTGGCCAAGTTCCTTGATAGTCCAAGCCATTTTTCAAAATTTGAAATGTTTCGCGAGCCGCAATTTTCGATGGCGCAGTTTTCGATGAGTCATATCATTCTTAACTTGGACGGAAACGAAATTTGTTACAACGTTGCACTTAGTCTTTCATATTTGTCGTCAGTAATTTCAAAGACATTTTAAAACACATACGGAACGATAATAATTTTTTAAAATATAATAGCACAAAAATGAAAAGGGAACTTGGGTACATTTATCGAGAGCCACAAATAATCCTTCAAAGAGCCGCAGGTTGGCCCCCCTTGTTATATAGATTATTTCATGTAGTTTCAGCAGATATACAATTTGTTTTTTGAAGTCGCATATTTGCTTTGACATAAATGTTTTTTTGCCACAAGCTCTAAGTGTTTACTTACTTTTGTTACCCACTGTATCAATGTTATTGATCGTTCGTGTGGTCGCCCACAGATCCAGACGTGCCGTCAACGAAAGGATACAGACGCGAATTTTGTCACTGGCTGGTTGGAAATATTCCTGAAGAAAAAATCGAGAAGGGAGAAGTACTAGCAGAGTACGTCGGTCCAGCTCCGCCGAAAGGCTCGGGCAAGCATCGGTACGTGTTCCTCGTTTACAAGCAAAACCAAGGAGCGATCACGTTCGACGAGAGAAGACTCAGCAACAGGTATTCGAGCGTTAATTTCGCAACCTTCGTTGTCATTCCACCGTAAATTAATCCTAATAATTTTTAGGGACGGTCAGCGCCGTAAGCGATTCTCCGCGAAGAAGTTTGCTGAGAAATACAATTTGGAGGGTCCACTATCTGGCAACTTCATGAAGGTGGAGTACGACGATAACGTCCCGGCGTACGCGAAACTTTTGGGATTTTAATTCGGTGAACGACGCAGCAACTTGCGAGCGATGTCACGAAGCGAATGAGAGAAATAAAATGTTCGGAAGAAATAAAAGAAAATCGGTCAATTCGTTTATTTTCGTTGATGTCGGTTACAAATATAAAACGAGTAGCGCATAGGCTACGTAAAATTCGCTAGACTGGCTCGGTGGATGGGTTTAGGATCGCCCGGCTTATCGGGCGCGTCTTCGCGCGGTGCCGCGAGCGATCCTCGGTTCGCTTCGAAGAGCTTCGCGTCGCAAAGCTGTTAGCTGCAACGGATGACTAGAATAGGATAAGCGCGTTTCTCGGTGCGCAATCAGAACCGTACGCCAGACACTGTACGGCGAGTAAAGATAAGTACGGTGCGCGATAAAGAGCGCCATCGATATTTCCTCTCTCGATCGAGATTCTGCCTCAGGGTAGCAGTAGATCCGGATAAACGGTGATGTTCCAACAGAGCCGATGATCTCGGACGTCGCCCCATCCACCGTTGCCCTTCCGGAGCTTTGTCTTTTTCGCGGTACCGGCTACGGTAAGCGTCAGTTGCGTAGGAAACAGATGATCTCGGGCGGCCTTTAGAACGTTCTGAACCTTTGCTATGACTGTGGTCGATTCGCAATTGGTCTTCTTGTGATGGACTCCGCTGCACGAGATTAGCGAAGGTCAACTTTTGGAGAAGATAGGGAGATACAAGAGAAAAACTGCGCTTACCATTCGCCGATGTGAAAAACTCTGGGTGCTCTCATCATCATCGTGACCAAACCGGACTCCGTGCGGGGGGCGATCCCGGCTCCTTTGCTCGGTGGTAGACAAGTCTGCGCGACGTGTTGAAGGCTCCAGTCCCAATTGTAATCGTCGTAGGAGCAAAACTGGGCCGCGCACTTTCTCAGTTTATTCCACGTGACGCGATTGAACGCCATTCCCATATTATGTTTGCTCGAGATCCACGGGATCACCTCGGCCTGTAGGTACGAAACGGCGGACGTTCATAAAATTGCGCGGAGGATGTGGTTTAGAGGAAGAAATAGAGACAAAGAGAGAGTAAAAGAGAAAAAGAGAGAGAGCGAGCGAGCGATCGTAGGGAACCGGAGGGTCGCGGAGCGATCGCGAGCGCGAATCGAGTGCGTCTGTCTGGTGTGTCGGGCAAAGTAAAGGGGCATTCGAAAACGTCGGTCGCGCTTGTTAATGTAAGAAAGATGATCATAACGCCGCATCGACAGGTTCGAGCAAAACGAAGGAACTCAGGTGGTGAATGTAGTCGGGTCGTGTCGCGTAGCGTCGTGTCGTGCGTCGTATCGTCGAAAGCCATAATGGGCAACCTTTTGATAATGATTGTAGAGATCGGGTAGGAGCTGGAAAGCCCATGCGGGAGCAGAGTGCGCCGTGCGCGCGTTCCGATCGACGACGGTTAAGAGAAGAGCGCCGTTTCCGGCAGCGGTGACGTTCCCGGTGCTGCTCCCGTCGGTGGGGATGTCATGGCTAGGGAATGCCTTGACACCGCCGATGTCTTCGTTTCTCGTCGACCGCCGTCGACGTTTCCCGCCTCTTTAATCCACGCAGGAACTCCTTTTGCAGAGCGCTGTTGACGCCAAGGAACTAACGGACGGGGCGTGCGTGAAACATCGACACACAGATATTCACACTGACATGGTGCTGTTGTACGATAGGGTACGCACCTATGGTGCAGAGGTTCGAACGTGCTCGCGTTTACGATCCATTATCTGGATCAACGAAACTCGAGCCGAACGCTATGGGCGTCGCGCGCGATTAGCCCCTTCACCGTTTCACGCCTCCTTTATCCGTTTTGTGATCGGAAAACGGAGAGAAAGAGAGAGAGAGAGAGAGAGAGAGACAGAGAAACGTACGGAATCGCGGTACGGCATTAAAATCGGCGAAGAGTCGGAACAACGCGAGATGTTCCCGAGCGTCGCCTGTATAGTCTCGCGATTTCGATGATCCGAAGAGAATGAAGAGAAGGAAGAAAAGAGATGAACGAGGACAGAAATCGAATCGTAACGAATGAACACGAGCTATCGGGTTCGCGGTATTCGAAGGATTCGATCGATTCGCGGTATTCTCACCTTTCGACTAAAGTCGGCAAAGTAATTGTAAGTCTTGAGATAGGTGCCCAAGGATAGGACGTTGCATCTCTCGCAGCTGTGCCTACAGGTGCGTTCCATCAGTCTCAATACGTGTAGAAAGTCTTCGGCGACGTAATGATCCTCCTCGAGAAAAAGCACCATTCCGGTGTGATTCCGGGTGATGGACAGTTGATCGAAGACTCGGTTCGCCTTCCACCACCAGTGGTGTTTGGTCTGAGTGAACTTGGCCTCCCTGTAGTGTCCATAGAGGTCCGGGTGTTTGGCGTTGGTGCAGCCGAGACTCAAGGCCCTACAGCGTCGTGCGCGCACGCCCGCATGCCCCCCGAGAAACAAAACGACCGTCGACGAAAGTGGTAAGAAAGCGGAGAAGCACGAGTGGAAGAAGAGGCAGCAAGAAGGAGAAGAAGAACAGACAGAAATAGAAAAAGCGGATTGATAGGTCGCGCGGACGCAGAAGAGAATTACTCACTGTTCTTTGCGTATGTTTCGCGGACAGTCGTTCGGCTCCTCGCCGGGAAAGCTTCGAGGATGAGTTTGTATGCTGTGAGGATAAAAGATTTGCATGACGCGGCAAAAGTCGACGCTCTGCACGAGATAGTTGATGTCCGGGTGCCAGACGTCGTGACTGAAGACGAGGAGGGTCTGTTCGATGCCCTTGGCTTGAGCCAACGAGACGATCAGGTGTCTGAGGTAGGTGAGTCGCGTGTGCACCTGGATCACTATCACGGGAGCGTCGTTGGCCAACGGACCGAACGACTCCTCATTGTACACCCTTTGCTCGGCGTTCGCTTTCTCTATGTTGCGTCGAATTTCCGCTATCTCGAGCTCGGTTAGCGTTTCCGCGCTCGCGTTCGCCAACGTCGACGAACCGTTTCGACGTTCCTTCAGAAACCTGCGAAAATCATCTCCCTCTTTTCTTTCTATTTCTCTTGCCCTCCGGCTCCTCGCTTTCTCTCCGTTTTCGCTGCACGCGCGATTAACTTACCTGTGCAGTTCTTGCGGCACGAGAGCGAACAACGTCTCGTTCGACGAGGATTGTCCGCCGGAGTCCCGACCGGTCAGGTTGATCACGTGAAGCTGAAGCCACAGGAACGTTGCCAGGAAGACGAAAACGAGCGTCCTCAAGAAGGTTCCACGCACGGATCTTATGGTCCCCAAAAACGAGGATCCTGCGAAACGAGTAAGAACGGTACGGTTCCTGCGATAGTCGGAAACCTTCCGATTGCCTCACCTCTCATGCTGACATTCCTGAGCGACCGTTCCAAAATGGACGTCGTTGTTCCTCTTTCGCCGGTTGGCCCGGCAGAAAGTTATCGTGTACGGTGTGCCGTGCTCGAAGAAGCTGCTCGAAGAAGATCCGTCGGTAGCTCATCGTTCGCGGCAACGTTTAGCGAGCTACTCGCGGACCTCGCCGTCTCTTACCTCGTAGCGAAGAAAAGGCGCGACGGGTGGTCCCTCATTTCGACGAAATCTGTAAAGCACGAAAGAAATATCACGGTGTTACGTGACGCGATGACGAAACAGTTGCAAATCTGATCGCGTCGAACCGCGAAACGGCGCGCACGAGAATCGAATGGAATCTCACGCGAGCATATCGAGTCTGTTTTGTTCGGAGGGGCGTAGACGATCGACACGCGCGGAATCGATGTCCAGTATCTGATCCGCGACGTCGTTCGGGAAAGAGTGGGATTGTCGGCCTTTTACAAGCTAGCGGAAAAGCGTCACGAAACGAAGGTTGAAAGAGGCTTCGCGACTCGTAACTCGATCGCGATTCGTCCCGATCTCGATTCCTTCCTTGTTTATTCAGCAGTACGTTGTATTTCGACGAACTTGACACAATTCATTGTATTAAACAGACTGTCTAGACAGAACTTTGGACGGAAACAGATAAAACTGATAAATATTAATGTACGATACAATAGATAATCCAGCAAACGCGCATATTTAACAAGGAGTGTTCAAAATGTTCTCTCGTTTCAGAGAGAAACATCGTACATTTATAGTTTCGTAAAATTAGGAAGCGGGGCTATTTCGAGTCCAGCGTAAGGGATGAGGTAATTCGGTGAAAGATCGGGGATGAGTAGGACGGGTCACCGATTATCGAAGGGAAGATTATTTACCAATGGACGTTGATTCACGAGTTTCGTCAGCCGGCCGTTTTCGGTCTTACCCTCTTCCTTCGGTCCCTTTTCCGCTTCCGCTTTATCGACGCGAGAAAATTACAGACGGCGCGTATCCGTCTCCGAACGAACCGTTTCCCGTATTTTTTTCTTCCTTTCATCGAAGCGTGCACGGAAGACGATGCTACGACGTTAACTTATTTTTAGTACGGTACGCGGACTCTTCGAAAGACGGAAGAGGGGATCGACGGAAGGACCGTAGAGAAAAGAAGAGGCCGGGGAGGAGAACGAGTAGGAGTAAAAGATGAAAGAGGAGTAAGGGAACGCGAATTAGTTGCGTCGTCGGTGCGCGATGCTAGTGGAAAATGTACGAAAGCAGCGACGAAACGGTTGTAGCGTACGCGAGCAACCTTGGTCGTTGGTTATTATCTCTTACCTTCGAATCACTGCGTTCCGTTCCCTTCTGTTATGCAGAACCGATTCGCGTTCGAAATTTTCCGAGCCGGTCTCGGCGTAATCTGGTAACCTTTCGCAACTCGCGGCACCTGTTTCCCTCCGCGATCGACGGGGCAGCCGATCGATCGGACGGCTGTCTCGGCGACTGGTCGTTTCTCGCGCGATACAGTTTCGGAAACGTCCCG